TCCTAACTGGTGGGAGGTAGGGGGAGGTGAAGATGCTCCAGCATCTAGGGGCAGGGCCAGCCACTCCTACCCCCACCAGGTCCCTAGTGTCACCGTGAGAGACACAGCAATTAGGTCAGAACGCCCCTCCAGATGCTCACCCCTTCTCATTATCTGGAAACTGTTACAGTGTATCAGGGAAAGCCCCATGGGGTGTTTTCCCATCTGTTGCTCTATTTTTGACACATGCTGCTCTCCACCCTGGAATTCCCGAGCCTCCTCTCCTCTCATCTAAGCCCTTCCTGTCCTTGGACAAGTTACCAAGTCTCTCCATGCTTTTTTTCTCCTCATCAGTAATGCGAATATGACAGTCCCTAACTCCTGGGGGTCAGAGAGGACTCAGGGGATTAATGCATACCCAGTGTTTAGTTCAGGGTCCAGCACAGAGTAGGTGCTCAATAAACAGTGGCCCCAGTTCTTCTCAAGGCCCAGCCCAAAGCCCTCTTTCTCCAGGAAGCCCTCCCTGACCACTCCAGCCTGAAGTGGGCACTCCGCCTTCTGCCTTCCACTGCCCAGCTCCTCAGGCCTTGTCACATCTTGATGTGCATCCTTTGTCACAGACATACACCTTGCCCCCACGTTTATTGGGAGCTCACCATGTGCCAGGCACTAAGTGCTTTACATCTGTTAACTCATTTAACCCTCACAACATCCCTATCCCATTTTACAGAGAAGGAAAATGAGACACAGAGAGGTTAAGTAACTTGCTAAAGGTCACACAGCAAGTAAAGCGATGGACCCAGGCCAAGAACCAAGGCAGTCAAACACCAAAGTCCATGCTTTTACCTTCTACTGTAATCATGTTGATAAATGTTTGCCAGGGGGATGGGCAGGATACACACATGACAAGTACCCATGGGCTTTGTGGAGTTTCCAGTTTCACTGCTATACACACTTGGGGCTCTGTGCCTGGGCTGCGCATGTGTGTTCATTGCATGTGGATCGTGTGCATGCAGAGATGTGTCTCAAGGCTGCATCTTGCATGCATGGGGAGCTTAGACACAACGTGTCCAGAGCATGTACATAAGTGTACAATGTCTATGTGTGCGCCTGGTGTGTATTTCTGCAGGGGGGTGGTAGGAGGGCAAATCACACTCCTTTGTGTAGCTGTCACTCTGCCTTAACAACAGTTAAGTACCCAGGAGGGAAGTGGAGCAGGACTTATTTCCCCTTCTTTAGAAATCAAGATGCCAGAGCCTGGAGCAGCTGCCTGACTGGCACCCTGTGTGCATGTGGAGTGTGAAAATTATGTGATCCAAGTACGTACGCCTGTGTGTGTATCTGCGTGTTCACACTACACGCTCCCGTGCACCTGTGTGTCGGCAGTGCATTGGTAGGTGTGTCTGGGTGCACAGAGGAGATACACGACCTGTGTGTGATGATGCAGGCATGCGTGTGTCTGCACACTGAGAGACATGTCGGCACATGGACGAGGAAACGTGGCTGCCAAGACTGCAAAGTAAGACAGACCTGACTTCCACCCCTGCCTCTGCCTCTGTCCAGCTGTGTCACTATGGACAAGTTGCTTCATCTCCCAGGGCTCAGTTTCTGCATCACAAAATGGGAATAATCATACCTAGCTCACAAGAGAGTCGGGAGGATTAGAGGGACCACATGTGAAGCACAGAAGGTGCTCAGCGCACCGGTGCTATCTGAGGATGTTTGTGTGCCCATGCTCGTGTGTGCAATGAGGGTGTGTCCTGGAGCTGTGTGTGCTCACAGGGTGCGGGGGGCATAATGAGTGAGCACACAGGTGTGAAAGTGCTGTGCACACTGCAGGTGTGTGCCAGGGCTGTGGGTGTTAACACCCGTGTGGCGGTGTGCGTCTGTTGCACACTCTGTGTGCCTCGAGGGGGCGCTGTGCCCCAGGCCCCTGGTTTCGGTGGGGCCGGAGATGCGGGCCTGGCAGGTGAGGAGGGTATCTCTGGCTGTCAGCCCCGCGGTGGGTGGGGGTGCCCCCGCCGGCAGTGATTGAGCCCCCGCTCTCCCACCAGGGCTGCCAAAATACAGAGAGACAGGGTGTAATTACCGGCACTTACCGCGGCCATTACCCCCCTCGCCGCGGCGCGTGACACACGACCCGTCAGCTCGGCGTTCGCGCCATTAAGGGGCCTCATTAGCATCCCGGCTCAGAAGCAAAATTACCCTCACTGCTCATTTCAAGATGTCATCAATTTTAATTTAGGGCCCAAAGATAGTACAATGGGAAGGCCCTCCCGGCCCGCCGCACACGGAAAGGGAGGAGAGGATGGGGGAGCGGCAGGGGCAGCCAGGGCCAAGGGGCTGCGGAGAGGGAGGAGAGGGACGAGGCACGGCGGCCCAGTGAGGAGGGGAGGGAAACGCTGGTCCCCTCCTGCCCCAAAGAGGCCCCCAGGCTAGGGCCTCTGCTGGCATCCTCTCGGGAGGAAAAAGAAACTGAGGACACAGTCAGGGGCAGGGGCCTGACCCAGCCACCCCTCAAGGGCCACCTGGAAGTATCTGGAGCCACACCTGGAGTGAGATGCTGTGCCTGGCACTTCCCTTTGGCTATTCTTTTAATTCCCACAACGACCTTGGGAGGTAGAGATGGCAACCCCCATTCCAGGAGGGGAAACTGAGGCAGAGACTATCTCCCTCACCCCCGTAGCACAGCAAGCCCTGTCAGAGCCACGTTTCAGCACAGGCCCATTTGTTTTTGCTGCTCCCTGCCTTCCTGGCCCCAGAACCTGCGCCTCGTGGAATAGTTCTGCTCAATGCCTGGGCCCACCAGCCTCATCCGGCAGTCTCACCAGCACTGCCATCCGCAGGTGCCCCCAGTCGTCTGGCCTCCACACACTGTGTGCCCCATGCCTGAATGTTCCCTCCCTCTCCTTGCTCCCTCACAATCCAGTTTAATATCACCTCTGTCTTCCTGCAAATCCCTCTCTGAATCATGGCTGTTCATGTGTCTGTCTTCCTGGCTCCACTTGCCTGGGGACTGTCTCCTAGTGAGTAGGTACTGTCCCTTATCCACCCAAGCATCCCAGGCACCCAGCACAAGACCAGCTCTAAGTGGGTGCTTGGGGTTTGCTGAGTAATTGAATGGCTACCATTTCCCAGCCAGTCTTCCTGCCCTCAGGTGGAGATGAGGTCTGCCGTCTGGATGAAAAAGGACCATGGAGGTCTACCCAGCCCACCCTCCATGACTTAGGTGAGCACCTGGGGCACAAGATGTGGTGGGCGGGGCCTGGAGAAGGGCTATTTCAGTCTGTCTGTGATGGTGCAAGAGCAGGTAGCCACAAATGTTTGCTGAGTGACTGAGTGATTGAATACATGGATGAATGAACACGCGAGTGAGAAACGCCTCTCGCCGGTCGCTTTCAGGTCCCTCCAGGGTCAGAAATCTTAGCTATTCCCTCTCCAGGCTTCACAGCAACTTGACTTATCAGCACTCCTGGGGCATTTTCATTTTGCAGGCAGAGCCTGGGCACATGCTTTGCCCTTAAAGAGCCTCTTTCTGAAAGAGGAACTTCACAGGCCACTGGAGATTTTCCAGAAGACCCAGTGTGGGAGGTGGGAGGACCCTGCTCATTATTTCCAGCCAGCTCTGCCACCCCCATGGGCCTCGGTTTCTCCAAGTGTAAAGAGGAGGCCATAAGCCACACCACAGCTTCTCAAGCCATGGTGTGAGGCTCAGTGACAAGGCAGCCAGAGTGGGGCGGGCCTGCGGGCGCAGGCTGAGGGAAAAGTCACTGCCAATCACTGCACCTGCCGTCACCTGGACGGGGTCCAGCCTGCCTCCCCTGCTGCCGGGCAGGCAGCCCCTCCAGCCACCACCACGGTGAGAGGAGAGGGAAGGGCCCCATCCTGAGCCCCGAGACAGGGTCCTCACTGGCGGCAGGCGCTGCTCCCTGGCCTCACAGAAGATGGATCGCTCCCTTAATCACTCTGGAAAAGAACCCCAAGCCGATATAATATTATAATTAATTAATTCACTAAAAAGGTATTAAATTTCTCTCCCCCCTGTGGATATTATCTGAATTCATTGACCTTTAGAAAAATCACCCTCTAATTGTAACCAGGTCCAAAAGCATTTGCAGCCCGTCCCTTTTACATTAATAATATCTTCCCGGACTCAGCTCTGGCTGCTTAAATATTGTATAAATTCCACTGCCCCCCTTGGAAAAGAGAGAGCAAAGAAAAAAGATGAGACTGGAGGAGCCTGAGAGGGGAATGGGGGCTGGACCCCCAGAGGCTAAGGTCTTGGGAGGTGAGGGGCAGGAGGCAAATTGAAGGGGCCTTTTCTAGCTGCTCCAGCCGACATACCAGGTGGCGTGGAGGGGCATGGGCTCTGCGATGGGGAAAGAGGTATGAGCTGGGAGCAAGAGGGTTAAATTTGGGGTTCGTTTTTTAGGAGACTATGTGGAGGGGAGGGGAAGGTCCAGTGTGTATCAGACTTTCATCCAAGCCACTGGCTCCAAACAGTGAAGAATCTCTGATTTAAAGGAAGGATGGAAACCTACTCCTCCCCTCCCTCCACCCCCAGGCTTCACCCCACTTCCAGCTTCCCAGATGGCCCTGTTCTACAGACAGTGGAGCAGGCCTTGGTGGAGACACCGTTGGACGGCCAGGACCTCCTAACACTGAGGAGGTAGGTACTAAAGGAGCCGAGAGCCAGTGCCATCCTCAGCAGGGCCCGGAGTCCACTCTTGGCTTTCTGTCCAAACGACCAGAAGGAGAGGCTCTGCAGAAGGCAGGGTGGAAAGCCACCTTCCTGTGTGTACATCCCGATGAGTGTCTGTCTTACTTTGCGGACCTCGGCTCCAACTCCCAGTATAAGAGGCTTCCTCAGTTAAACAGGTCCATCTCTGCTTTCACACGATCCCTCACCCACTCCACCTTTTTACAAATAATTTCCCCCGACATCTGGAAAAGTGTTGTCTACCAAATGAAGGGCAAGGACAAAGACTACATCCTCTTCTTATTTAATCAGAGATGTTCATAGCCACTAGTCAGGAGCTGTCAGCCAATTCCCTTCCAACCACAAACTAAGGGTCGTGAAGACCAGTCTCAGATACACGAATGCTTTTTGGTGGCTTGTTGGAATTCTGGAGGCAACACTTGTGCCTGCCTTAACTGAACCCTTAGGACTGCAGGGCCCCCAGGCATACAGCTTGGAATGCATAATTAAGCTGAGATTTCCCTGGCTGCCACCAGATGGGCTGGCAGCTGCCTGCTCCTGGCCCTGTGGCGCCCTCTTGTGGGCAGAACCCCCACTCACACCCTCAGTGCTGCCCAGTAGGCGGTCCAGACCCTGCTTCCCAAGCTTCAGGTGGTAGCCAGACTGAAGGAATCCATTCGGCAGGAAGCCAGCAGGCAGGTGGAGGGGGGTGATACCATGGTCTTGAGGGGCTGCTTGAGGGAACAGGTGGGCAGCTCTGCCACTCCACTGAGTCAGTCCCCAGGGTGAAGAGGAATAACAAATGGGGGTAGGAGAGTCCTCAATCAGCTGAACTACTGGCCTTGGGATTCGAACACCTCCACCCCTCCCTCACCAGGTATCTCCCAGCCAGACTCCAGGTCCTGTCCCAGGAGGGTCTGAGAAGGGGGCTCCCAGGCCTTGGGCAGGTCCTGGCAGTGGGGTGGGGCCTGGAACTAGAAGGAGGTGCCAGCCAGCCCCTGGGCTGGCTCCAACTCCCTAAGGACATCCACCGCTCCATCTGACCTTGAGATTAATCCCCATCCCAGCCACAATCACCCACACGCCCGGCCCCCTTTCCTTCTCTCCCTTATGTTTTAATTGCTCCAACATTGATTTGATCTCCCATTCTACAAGGAGGAAATTGCCCTCTCAGCCATCTTCATCCTGGAATTTTTTCTCTTTTAATTAGGCCCCTTTGGCCTCTCAGGGCCCTATCAGGAGGAAGCCACTTTGGTCTTTGCCTAAAGAGACTGTGGGAGGTAGAGGGAGAACTAGACAAAGCCCCCAGAGACCCTCTCCACCCTCCCCTCCAGACTCCCAGGGCTCAGGAAACTCCCTCTTCTCCCCTCTCTGCCCCAAGCCCATTTCCCTATGCTGGGTGAGACCATAAAACCCCAGGATCTTAGAGCCGAGGCTCCTGGGAACTATTAGGAGGTGGCGGACTTTAGCCCAGAGAGAGGAAAGGATCTGCCAAGACAGTGCCAGAGCCAGGAGTAGAACCCATGTGCTTGACTCCACCCAGCATCCTGTGCTCCTGTCTCCTCCCGAACTAATTCACGTGGCTCCCTCTTTCCCCAAACCCATAGAAGGACACACCTCCTCACCTCCTAGGGAGCCTGTCCTGCTAGAGACACAAAGTCAGAGAGCAGAGGGCTGGCCTTGCCTCCACAGAGCAGGCAGACTCTCTGCCGGAGAGGGAAAGAACCTGGAGAGGTTACCACTAGAACTGGGGGTGGGGAACAGGAGAAACATGCAGCCCCATTCAGGGCCAGGGATGTCCTGGTCCAACAGTGCCCCAAAACAGCAGCCAAGAAGAGTAGACCTGGTTTACAAGCAACCGGGTCTCCCACATCACCTGGCTCAGCTGGCTCAGGCCACAGCTGGAGTTGTGACCAGTGTGGCTGCAGCGCCACCTTGTGGCCATGAGGAGGGACAGTGCCCCCAGAGGCAACCAAGCCCCGTAAGAAGCTAGATCTCCAGTAGGGCTGGGAGTTGGGGGCAACAGGGTGATGGACTCAGTCCCTTCGGTCTGTATCCCCTGATCCTGACCCTCATCGGGGGCATTTGAACTTTGAATCCAGAAAGAAGCCCACTGGGCTGAATCCTCCCCTGTCTCTTATCAGCTCCAGACCCCCTCCAAAGAGACAGGACAGGCAGGTACAAAGCACAGTGTTTACTAAAGGCACAAAGTGGGGAGCCTGGAGGGGAACTGCTCTTCCAGCAGTGACCCCACGCTCTAACTTGAGCCCAGCGCCCCCTCTTCTGGCCACCCCCGCCCTCACACCACCTGGTGGAGAGCTGTTAGCACCAAAGGGGGTGGGGGTGCCCCACCTGCGTGAGGGGCGGGGAGTGCCAGGCTGGAGGACGGGCTTGTTGCCATTGGAGTCCCAGAAAGGCAGGCCTGGGCACCCCCTGGACCAGTCACTACCTCTAAGAAGGAACTTCTGATCCCTCTGTTCCAACGTGTCCTTCACTGGTGGGGGGAACCAGGCTCAGAAGACAGGACTTCTTCTGGCCTCCAGTGTACCCTGTCCCCTCCCTTACTCTTGTGATTTCACCTCCGGGAGCCAGGTTAAAGGCCTATTCGTGCCCAGCCCCATCAAGAAGGCTGCCCCTGGGTGGGGGGATTCTGACCCCACAGGCTGCCAAGCAGGCACTCAGTCCAAACAGGGGGCTGACAGGGAGGAGTGAGGTGGGGCAGGTGGCTACTTCACACACAAGTGCAGCCTGAATGCTGGGAGGGAGGTGGCCCTGGCCCTCCCAGCCCCCAGGCCTGCCCCCGCTGCCCAGGTCACAGCACATCACCCTCCTCCATGCTGAAGCTGCTCCTGCGGCTGCTGGCCTTGGAGGCCTCGGGGGACATGGTGGAGAAGAGGGGGTCGGAGGCCAGGGGTAGCAGTGAGTCGTCCAGGAGCACGAGGTCCAGATCCTTCTTGGACAGGTTCGGGAATGGGGAGCCGTGCTCTGGCCCCAGAGGTTCGGGGTAGCCTGGGGGCCCTTCGCTGCCCCCGCCCCCAAAGCTCAGGCTGTGGCTGAAGTCCAGTTGGTGGAAGGGGGACGGTGGCTGGGGTGGCTGAGCTGGCGGGGGCAGCTGGGCCTGGGGGGGCAGAGCCGGCAGTGGCTCGGGGTCGGGGATCTCGGCCCCCAACAGCAGGGCCTCCCCAGGACCCTCCTCGCTGGGCAGCTCCTGCTTCACCACCTGCTGGGCCAGCTCCGCCATGTTCATGCCCGATGGGGAGGTGGTCGGGAGGCCGTGCACGCGAGCCTGCATCTCCAGCTCCTGCAGGTGGGGCAGACGGAGGGCTGGAGGCACACACCCACAGGCACTGGCAGCCCCCTGAGCCCGGCTTCAGCCCTTGCCCCTCCCCTTGTGGCACCCAAGACCACAGAATATCTCGGCTGGGAAGAAGCGCAGGGCAGCTGTAGAGTCTAGACTGGTGTTTTTTCAAATTACAAGTCGCAACTCATTAGTGGGTTGTGAAACCACTACAGTGGGTCTGAACCAGCTCTCTTTCTAATTTTTTTTTTTTTAAATTGAAATAGACTTGCCTAGACTAGACTAGCATAGAAATTATCAGAATGCATTGCATCTATTAAGGATGAGGGTTCTTTCATGAAACTTTGATTTTTCACTTTGACTGTGGTTATGTGTGCTGGATTGTAATGTAAATGGTATTATCTACCATAAGAAATAGAAAAAATTTAAAGCTGCAGTCCAATCGCCCTTCGTATAGATGACCTACCTCGGGTCCAAAGAGGACAAGAAGCCTTCAATGCAGAGCCAGGACTAGGCGGCTCTAGGCGGTAGGATTGACTCTCCCAAGCCTCAGTGCTTTTACTTGTCCCCTGCAGTGATTCTTAGCACTGCCCACCGAATAGTTCTGGCTCTCTGCCTCCCACAGGGGTGGGCCTGCACTTTCCTGCCCCCTTGAGGTTAGGTGTCCGCATGTACTTGCATTGATCCAGCAACTGTGAGAAGGACAAGTGTCACACTAAGAGTGACACATGGCTTTAAGAGCCAGCCCTAGGTGTGCCTGGGTCCCAGAATGAGGGTCTCACCGAACAGAACCTCTAGCTGATAGTTATTGCTTTAAGTTGCTGGGGAGGGTTTGTTCCCAAACTATATACCATCCTGACTGATACATCGTCCCTCCTCATGGGCATCATCCCCATGGCTTCAACTTCAGAAGTGTGAGCACTGGGAGGAGTCAGGGCTACCCAAGAAGCCCAAGTGCAGGGGCCAGACCTGGATACGGAGCCAGAGCTGCTTGTTGGTCATTTCCAGGCGCCGAGAGTGGTTCTCCAGCTCCCGGGACTTCTGCAGGTCCTTCTGCATCCTCCGGATGTAATCAACAGAGGCCTTGAGGATGGTGCCCTTGTTCCAGCGCACGTCCCTGCAGCCAGGCGGTCAGAGGGGCGTGCTCAGAGGAGCTCGGTGGGTGGAAATAAAACCCTGCCTTGGCTTCAGAAGCCTGTGCTGCCTGTTCCAACTCTGCCCCAAACCCCAGACCAGGCCAATCCCTATTTATGGAAGAGGCTGATTTCTGTCTGTACAGAACAGACCCTCCCAGATACCTGTGGTGCCACCACTCACCTCATTAATCCCAGGAACCAAGCAATTTGGAGCAGCCTCCTTCCCCAGGCCTTCCGTTCTTGCCACCAAAACCCACACTCGTCTTCGACTCTCATTACTCCTGTTCCTGGACCACCTCTGCACCAGTTCCCTGCCCTCACCAAACTTTCCCAGCATAACTCCTCCTCCAGGAAGCCCTCCTGACCCCAGACTCATTTCTGGGACTTTTGCTCCTTTGTCTTGAGCTTTATTTGGGCGGTGGAGGGATCTTCTTTTCCCAAATAGATGATAAGCCCTTTAAGGCAGTGACCAAGGGATTCTCTTCCCATCCCTTCCCCCTGGCAACCAGCAAGGCACTGGGTGCAGATAATACTTGTGAACTGCTGCCCGCCCCTCCCCTTCCTCCAAGAAACCCACTCACAAGTCGTTGGCCTTGGGGATCAGCATTCCCAGCTCCTTGATGCGGTCATTGATGTTGAACCTCCGCCTCCTTTCAACTAAAGGTAACACATTCCAGAGGGAGTGATTAGAGGGATGGGGACCTCACCTGGGGAAAGGGCCCAGCCCAAGGAGGGGCGTCTTAACCCTTCTGGGAAGTAATGGGTGATGGCAACCAAATGGGAGGCCTGTTGGGGTGAGGGGGCTGGGCACTGTCCAGACACAATGAAGGGGGCCAGGCTGCAGCGTGGCGCAGCTGCCTAGGGAGGACCCCCTCCTCTGCCCAGAACGCCTTCCCAGGTGCCCTACCCTAAAGAAAACAATCTGATAAACTCCTCCTCTCTGGAGTGCTGGGAATTTCAGGAATATCTCTTCCCTGGAGCGCCTCTCCCACCCCCTCCTGGAAGGGGAAGAGAGCAGTGCTGAACCCAGTCAATGCCAAGATTTTAAGGCCTTGGGTGGGGAATCCTTCCTAGAATCGGTGCAGGGCAGAGTGCCTTTGGAGCCAGCCGGGTGAGAGGGGGGAAGGGAGAGGCGGGGAGAAGGGGCTGGGGAGACTCACTGAGGTTGTGATTGTCTTTCTTCTGCCGCTCCTTGGCCAGTGCCCGGCTCTCAGCATCTGGAGGCCAGGAGAGGAGAGAGGAGCTGGGAGGGAAGCGAGGAGAGGGAGGGGCGGGAGCTGGGGCACAGGGAGGCGGGGAGGTGGTACCTGTAAGCTCTCTCTTCTGGGTCAGGTCAGCCGGGCAGGAGCTGCTGGTGACTCCCACCAGGGAGGCGGTTACCTGGGGGTCTCCACTGTACACATTCAGATGGCTGCTGGACAGGGGCAGCTGCGGGATGAGGTGGGAAAAGGGACCTGGTGAGCAGCCCTCAGCCTGCAGGGGTCTCTCCCCAGGGCTCATCATCCCAGGAACAGCGATTCCCAGGGACAGCAGGGGGAGGCTATGCTGGGACACGTAGGGCGCAGTTTCAGCTTTAGGGGATCTGCAGCCAGTGCCAGGGAGCTCAGCATTCAGCCTGGGCCTCTTCACCTAGGAAGTCCACCTGAAAGTCTGCAGAGGCCGGGCTGAGTAAGATGCAGTCCTTGCCCTCAAGGAACAACCAGCCAGTAAAGAAAAGCAGTGGAAAAAAGAGAGGAGATAGTGGATTACGCCCAGGGCCTCAGGAAGCCCACAGGAGGGGCACCTAATCTGAAGGTTTCCAGAGGGTGTGGTGAGGCAGGGGGGAGGGCTGAGCCAAGAAGCAGGGGCTGGACAGAGCATGGAGGTCACAGCTGGATGCCGGCAGGCGGAGGAGCTGCCAGCACCTGCAGTGCAGGTTCCACCTGCAGGGACCCTGAGGTTCTGTGATGGGATTTAAACAGGGGCCTGACAAGGACAGGTTTGAGCTCTGGAAAGACCTCCCCAGCGCCTGCCACAGATACACACAGAGCAAACCACAGGCCCAGAGTCCTGCAGGGGACACAGGAACCACTACAGGGGTCAGACGCTTGTCCTCTCATCTCTCCCTTCCCAGCCCTCGATGCCCCTGCTGGCAGCGGGGCTCAGGCCCACTGGCCCTGGCCAGCTTCTGCTGAGCCACTGGGCAATGTCACATGGGCAGTGGGGACTGAAGATTTACTCCCTGACTCCCCACCACAAGGTCCAGGGACTCTTCTTCAGTGGTCTGGGCGTGGGCCAGGATCAGGGCGATAGGCTCAGGCCAAGGGGCGGGAGCAAGCAGCTGAGATTCAGGGATCTCTAAAAAAAGAAGCGGGGACGGCCACAATCCCACCTGGTAAGTGTAAATACCTGTCCGCCTTGCGCAGAGCTAGTCCTCGGTTTCTTGCCTTACCTCTTTCCCCACAATTCTGTGGGCAAAAGGCATCATCCCCAGGGGCTCAGAGCAGGTAAGGGACTTCCCAAGGCCATAGCCAAAGCCAGAATCAGGCCTCTTGATTCCAAGCCTGGCCCCTTCCCACCTGCCACCCCACCTATGCTTGGGAAGCCCAGAGAACATTAACACTGCCAGGAGGCTGCTGGAGCGAGGGGATAAAGCCAACTGGATATCACTTGCCCCCGGGAGTGAGGGCCACAGGCCCTGGACTCGGTAGAGGACGGGGTACCCAGATCCCAAAGGCACTCATCAGCTCCAGGCCTTCCTGTGGCCACACTGCTCTCCTCCACTGAGGCCCAGCACCAGTGCCTCTTGGCCCCACCCAAACTCAAGAAGCTTCCCCCAGCTACCTCTCCCTGCGGAAGCCCCACCATGCATGCAGGCTAAGGTGCACTTCTCTGGATTCGCAATTCTGCCTGGCCCTGGGCCCTCATCACATGATTTGATGGAGGCGACCCGCATCTCTGCAGCAGGGTGCTGGCTCTACCCAGGCAAGGATGCATCTCCAGTTCTCTCCAGGCTCACAGCCAATGCAGGGCCTCTGCCCCTCCCTCTGACACACCCAACCCACCCTGGCCAGCTGTACCGTGTTAGGCATCTGAGTTTCAGGATTGATGAAGCCCAGGACATCATCCAGACACATAATGTTGTCGATAACATCAAACTGAAAGGAGAAAAACAGTCTGTGTTAGGGGAACCCACCTGGAGAAGGGCAGGGGGAAAGGGACACTCGGACAGCCACTGACCCGAAGGGACTTTGGAGCCCACCCTCCCCTAACCTGCTCATCCGGGGGAGGGGGAAGGAAACAGACTCAGAAAGAGGATAAGCTGTCTGGGTCCCCCAGGCTCCGAGGCCCAGGCCCGGCTCTTCCCAAGGAGGCAATTTGCCCAGGAAGATCGATTTGTATACCTTCTGTCTGGACATGGCTTTGCAGGTGTGCTAGGCTTTCCTGTGTGAGTCTCCTGTTTCTCCCCAGCGGAGCTTTCCAAAGTAAGGATGATGTTTCTCCCGGGAGCCTGGGGCTCCCTGAGGACGGGGCTGTGTCTCCCCTCAGACTGGGGTCCCTGAGAGCAGTACCTTGCCTCCAACATTAGACTAGGAGTCCCAGGAGCACAGCACCTGGCCCCAGCTCTGCCGGTGGCAGCCACCGGCCAGGTCCTCACTCACCTCCCGCTCGGGGTTAGAGCCAATGTGCAGCATGGCCATGGGGCTGTTGGGAGCACTGTTGCCGGCCGAGGAAGACAACACATGTCCGGCCCGCACCCCGGGGGAGGCGGCTGGCAGGGGCTTTGGGGAGCCCTGTGCAGGGCTGATGTGGGCGGCGAACTTGTTCCCGTAGGTCTCTGACAGGTACTCCCGCACCTTCTGGTCCCGGGACTGCTGCAGGTGGTAGGAGGTGGGGTTCTCCAGGTAGGACTGCACCTGGGAGCAGGGAGAAGGCAAAGGGCTCAAGGCGGGGGCTCCTGGGTCCAGGGCGGGAGGGGACAGGCCTGAGCAGACCTACCTTAAGCACCTCCCCGGGCACCGGTGGCGGAGACTGGAAGTGGACGGGGGTGTTGATGGCGGGGGTAGGCGGCCCCCCCAGCTGCTGCTGCTGCTGCTGCTGCTGCTGCTGCTGCATGTAATGCATGACGGCCTGCTGCTTCATGCGCTCCCGCTGCTCTTCCTGCTGCGCCTGCTCCCGCATGAGCTGCATGCGGAGCCCGATGCGCGACGCCATGGCGGCTGCTGGCTCCCTGCGGGCGGGAGGGGGCAGGTTGGAGGTACACGTCCCCTTCAAAGTGCACAGGGTCTTGGGGAAGGGACCAGGACAAAGGGGACAGCACCCACTCTACAGGAGATGGGGAGGGATTTGCCTGAGGTCACTAAGCAAGCAGGTGACAGAGCCAAGACTTAAACCCAAGTACCCTGGTTCTTGGGCCAGAAATGGAGACTCCCTCTTCTTCATTCGTTGCAGTAGGTCAGCCCTAAAAGCATGGAGTCAACCTTGACTCCTGTCTTTCTCCCATGGCACGTGGTGGTCCTGCCACAGCTGACCTCAGATACAACCTCTGCCACCACCTCACTGCCCCCAGTGCGGCCCAGCCCCTGCCTTATCTGACTTCCTGGAGGAGCCTCCTAACATCAGACTCATCTTGTCTTGCCCCATGACGTTCTACCTGCAAGCTGGTAGTTAGAGGGATCCTGTGAAAACCCAAGTGAGATCCTGTCCCTTTCTCAGCTCAGAACTCTCCAGGGCTCCCGTTTCACTCAGCCTAAAAGCCAAAGTCCTTACCATAAAAAGCCCTCTATGATCTGTCCCCACCTCATGGTCCCCTGTACCCCATCACCTCCTACTCTCCTTGTTCCTCCTGCTCCAGCCACAGTCCCTCAAAGACACCAGGCACCCACCCCGGGGCCTCTGCACCCGCGCTTCCCTCTGCCTGGGGTGCCATTCCCCCAGACACCATCATGACTCATTCCTTCACCTCCAAGGCTCAGATGTCACCTCCTTATAGAGACTTTCTATGACAACCCTATTTAAAATTTGCAAAACCTCTACCAGCTTCCTCATCACACACACACGCTATGCCCCTTCCCTCTTTTATGTTTCTCCGTATCACTTATTACCATCTTAAGCATTACACATTTTTCCTTAGTTATTTCATTCATCCTCTTATCCCTTTCTCAGTAGGAATGCAAACTCCCTTGAGGGCAGGCATTTTGTCTGTCTGGTTCACTGCTGTGCCTCAGGCCTCTGTGTGCAGGGAATGACGACTATTTGTGACCCAGCATTGGCCACACAGCAGTGAGCCAGATGTAGGCCCTGAGCTGGTGGTGTCTACAGTCCAGTAAATAAGAAAGGCAAGTCCACAGGTCATTATAACCCTGCGCATGGAGGGCCACTTCAGGGCACCTGATCCTGCCAGGGCCCAGGTAGAGCCTACCACCACCCAGCCCATCAGCCCTGATCTTTGATGGGTCTCAGGGGGACAGGGGACTAAGGCCTCCAGGCCTAGTCTGGAAAGGGGAAGGACAGGACAGAATGAGTCCTGCAGCTGAGCCCACTCTGTTCCTAGCTCACTGAGTGACCCCGGGCACATCCCTTCCCCTCTCCAGCCTGCGTCTCCTCATCCACAAAATGAAAATGTTGGACTGAGTGATTTCTTAAAGTCCCTCCCAGCTGGGATGCGCTGAGACTCTCTGAGATGTGCAGGGGCCCCAAGAGAGATGCCATAAAGGTCCTGGCAGGGGCTGGAGGGTCCAATCTCAGTGATACTGCAAGAGGCAGAATGACTTTGTAATTGAGCAAGTGCTCTCAAACAGGGCTTGAATCCCAGCTCTGCCACTTCTTTGCTGTGTGACCTTGTGCAAGTCACTTAACCTCTCTGAGCTTCAGTTTTTTCATCTGTAAAGAGTTTCAGAAGATTGGTGAGAGCGTTAAATGGAAATAATGTGTCTCACACAGTGCACTACCCTTGGCAGGCTGAGTGGGTGAGTGATGGATCACACAAGACTGCCGGGGTCAGCTGCAGTGTAGACCAGAGGCCAGAGCTGTGCCCCAATGTCCTAAGGATGAGACCCAGACCTCTGGGGATGGCAAAGGAAAGCAGCACAGGCTGACATGCCTTGCCTAATGCCAGTCATCAGACTAAGTCAGCATGAGTGGAAGGCACTGGCAAATATTCAGTGAAACACCGGATCAAGGAAATAATAATAATTTGCATCTATTTGAGCAGTTACTGTGTGCTGGGCAGTGTTCCAAGCACTTTAACCTCAAACAGCCCCACTGTGTAGCTTTGGTTATTATTCTCCTTTTACAGATAAGGAGGCACAGGGAGGTGAAGTATCTTGCAGCAGGGACAGTGCTGGGACCCAATCCCACAGTCTGGCTCGCCAGCCCATGGTCGGTGGGGGTGGGGGGTCTGCAGACCACCGTGTCTCCTTGCAGAACTGGTTTGTCCCAGGTTGCATGTCTGGTTGATCCAGGACCAGGAATGGAGCCCCAGCCACCTGACCCCTAAGTCAGGGCTCCCTCTGGTAGAAGCAACAAAGTGAGGCGGCACCATTCACCTAGAGGGGTGGGTTGAGTACTCAGCCGCCCTTACCCCTCCCTTCCTCCCTTCTCTGCCCTGCTAGGCCAGGAATTAGTGAAGGGGCTGCTTCAGCCCCAGAAACCTCTCTGCCTAGCTCCCAACAGGACTGTCCCCAAGGAGAAAGGAGCAGACACCCCCTTCCCCCTTCTGTCCTGTAGCAGGGACCCAGCTGCAGCCTCCACCCTAGTCCTGTGCTCCTACAGAGGGGTAGCTTGTCTTTGCCCCCCACTCCAACTGAATCCCTGCAGACCTCATGGGCTCTGACCCCAGCCCAGCCCGCTCCCCTTGCAGCTGCACCCCTACCCGCTGACACACACAGTGCTGGGAGCCCCTCCCCCTCAGGAACAATCTGACTTCAGTTGGTCCCCGGGGGCTGGGGGAGGTGCAGACACTGGGCCTGGCAGTGCCAGCCGGCACGGGGAGGACTGGGGGAGAACAAGCCCCTTGTTTCTCTGACAAAGGGCTGAGCACCCATCCTGGGCCAGGCGAGAACCTGGGCTCAGCCCTGCTCAGCCTCTCACTGGCTCAGTTTGCTCATTTGTAAAATGGACGCAGGAATCTCTGCCCCACCACACACCCAGGATCTGGGAGAGCCTCCTGGGAGAGGATACTGGAGAGAATTCTGAGCAGCGAGGTGTCTGTGTATCAAAGAGTGCCAGAAGCCTTAGCCTGTGCCCTGTCCTCTGACAGAGAGTGGCTCTGCCACCCTCCCCTCGCTGTCAAAGCTGTCATCCCCCCTCGCAGAGTCCCAGTCCCCTCCTTTGGCCCCCAGCCTTCATTGCTCTGAGTGTGGCCTGGGTGGGATGGGTGTGGGGTTAAGGGCAGGACTTGAGGGCTGAGAAGGGCAGATGGTATGGTCCAGGAGAGACACTGGGCATGCTAACCTCACACCACCACCCAGCCACCAAACACACCTGCTCACTCAAAGCCTGAGGGCCACGCACAGCCTCCCCCAGTGCCCAGTCTGGTCAGGAGGAGCTGAGAGGAGGGGCCGGGGAGATATAAAATGCCCCAGACCCTCCCCACTGTCTGATCTCCAAACCCACCACACCTGGAAAGGGTCCACCACGTGTGTACTTGTAACACCAGGAGCTTGAGTGCCCTCTACAATGCAGACACTGGGGCTAAGGTGTTTCCCTGAAGAAAGAACCTTCTCCCCGGCCCCTCCTCCTGAGGGGACCAGGGGGTCTGTTGCCCCCAGAGAATTCCTGCCTCTGTCCAGTCACATGGAAAACATAGCAGGAACTGAAGTTTCAACTAAGTTTCACCCCGCTCTGCACCCTCAGACCCACGGGCTGCCTCCTGCCACGTTTCACCCAGAACCTCCCACTCGCCTCTACCTTCCCTAAGCTGTGTGTGGGTTCTAGCTTAGTTGTGACCAAAATGAGCTTCACTGTCCAACAGAGGTGGCTGAAGTGTCCGCTCTGTCCATACTGGCTGGGGACTCTGGGAAAGCCACTTAACCTCTCTGTGCCTTGGTTTCCTCCTCAGTAAAATGGAGCCAATAATAGCACCTGGCTCAAAGGGTCTTGTGAGGATTCAAGGAGACAGCGAGTGTCCCTAATGGCCCTTAGGCATGTGATAATGGGGGGATCCTGGCTCCCCTCAGAAACCGTGCCCTGTGTGGTCAGGGGCCAGAGCTGGTTTGTCCCAGGTGCACTGGAATGCAGCTCAGCAACGGGAGTGAACCAGCTATTGCTACACACAACTCAGATGACTCTCACAGACATAACGGTGAACAAAAGAAGCCAAATGCACACAGCGGGATTGATCTATATACAGTTCAACAACAGGCAAGACAATCTTTTGTGTTAGAAGTCAGGATCCTGGTACCCTTGAGGGAGTGACAGGGAGATGGCACAGGACAGCTGGGGGAGAGGGGACTGGGAATGTTCTGTAATCTGATGCAAGTGTTAGTGACATGGGAGTTTATGAAAATGCATACAGAGTTTGTACACTTTTCTGTATGTGTGTCATACTTTCATTAACATTTTATGTAAGAATGAGGGCAGACCTTAAATAATGTAAAGAAAGAGTTGAGCAAATTACCCTCCCCGCCTCTACCCAAGTATGGCTATGACTTTAAAATGCCTTTGGTACCAACACAGCTTCAGCAGAACTGCCTGAGGGTGGTACATCCTCTTTGGAAGAATAATTTGGCAAAATGTATCAAAGCCTTAAAAATATATATATCCACTAGCTTGAGGGGGGAATCTCAAATGCAGAAAAGGCTTTTATGCATAAAGATGCCCATCACATTACAGACAGAAAAATCAAAAAGAATCTCAATGTCCAGAATAGGAAGGTTCAATTATGTTGTGTTCCTCCTGATGGAAAATTATGTTTACAGTAAGTAACATGGGGATATGTCAAGTGACAGAAAGCAGGATGCAAAGCTGTCTATAAAATCTGATCATCATCATGGACAAATATGTGGAGAAAAACCTCTTGGGAAGAAATATACTAAGCCATGACTGACTTCTTTGGATGACATAATCATGAGTGATTTTTTTTCCTTTGTACCTTTTGGAATGTTCTTTTTCTATAATGAACACATGTATCTTTCTAATCAGGAAAAATATTTTATACTAGTAGCTAATGCTTATGGAGTACTCAGTCTGTGCCAGGTTTGGGTCAAAGCATCTTACTTAATTATCACA